TGGCTGTATCATTTGGTGACGTTGGTAAAGCACCCTTTACTGAAGAATTGACCAAAAAAATGTTTGTGTTTCCGAACTGGAATTTGGTGGTAATGTGCGAATTGCAATTCAAATTTGACACATTTTTACTTTGGCAGTTTTTCAGAAACATCAAATACTGTGAGTTTTTGGGGAAATTAGGGGTGGCTGTATCATTTGGGGACGCACTCTATGTGGTGGCATGGGCGAAATACATAAATAACCCACCAGACAAGTGGCCCGATACAAATATAGACTTAACTACAAAACCAGCGACATCTGAAGAAGCCCAAGAAGAGTTTGGGTCCATGTAAACAACCGTATCAGATACTTATACCTCATTCATTCCGTTTAACAGAACTAATCTATATCAAAAACTATTACGAGTCACTCCATACATTCTGAAGTATGTAGCGAAAAGTAGGCGGATGGTGCAAAAGTAGAGAAGGTAGTTCGGTCGAGAAATCTAACTACAGAGTTATCGATTAGTGTCGGAGGTACAATGGTTTACTACAACTGACAGAAAAGCAGCTAAAATCCTTACACTCCGAGAAAATTATCGCGAAGGAATCCTTTAGCTGTAAGGTCGGGTAGTACAGCGTCTCCAAGTAACACAATGCGAATACGGAATCTACCGCGGGGATCTACGAATGACACATGCAGTGCTCTAGGACTCTGCGAAGACTCCAATCCTACTTCTGCGAAAACATCAGCTCAAGAAGTTGATCGCCACGGACTTACATCAAAGGCTATTCCGCGCCGGCACTTCACACCTGATATCTGAGCATAGAAACTTCTATCTCATTACGAGAATCCGCAGGGTATCTAATTTGATAGCACAGAAGAGCACGATTTGCCGACGACAACAAGTAAGACCCCTTCAAACTCCAGACTACTGGATCTACCAACCCAGAGAGTAGTCCGAAGTAGAACATTTCAGAACGCGGGTCTCGATTACTTCGGTCCTATCACAGTTCGTCAAGAAGTAGGGGGCGGGCAAAAAAGTGTGGGTGTGCCTCTTCACGTGTATGGCAACTCGAGCGTTGCACTTAAAAATCGTGGCAGATAACTTGGCACCACAATCCCTCCTCGCGTTTAGAAGGTTTTTGGCACGCAGAGGAGCCCCTACCTCGGTCTTGAGCGACAACGCACCAACCTTCAAGCTAGGAAGGAAAATCTCGGTAAACGAGCTCTTCGCTGTAAGG